ACAGATACAAACAGTATCTGTGAATTAAATCAGACAGTTGTAGGGATCAGGTGATGGTGTAATGGTTATGTCACTGACTCCTACATAATTGACAGCAGTTCGAGTCCAGGACCTGGCAGTTTAAAACTCATGCTGGGTGTATGTGTGTGTGTGTGTGTGTGTGTGTGTGCATGCCCAAAATCCCAAAAGGAGAATGGAGGAAAAGGGATTGTGGTGTGGCCATCCCCCCTGGGAATGATTTCTTGGTTTTGGTCTCTCTGTCTCTCCAACAAGCACACATGCCCTAAAGCAAAAGTCTCTCCAAATAAATAAATAAATAGGACAGTTATAGGCAAAGTTTTTAAATAATTATTTTATTTTATTTTATTTATTCATTCATTTATTTTTTAATTTGACCAGAGAGAGACAGACGTTGAGAGTGAGAGAGAGAGGAAGCGAGAAAGCAAGCCACCAGATTCAGGACCCGAACCCTGGTCAGCCACGTGGGAGTGTCCAGCTCCTTAACCACCATGCCACCTGCTGGTCCCGAAAATTTTATCATGAAGGTAAAGAGAAAAAGACAGGCATATTTGGAGTTAGAAAGGCTCCAATCCTAGTTCTTACCCTCCTTTTCTGTCCCTTGCTTATATACAACCACAGCAAACATCAGTCTGAATCTTAGACTCCCCACTTATGAAATGGGTAATCAAGTCTCTCAAGCAGGATGCTATAAGAGTATTTATTGAAGAGAGGTTTCTGCTATAGTGTACATGCACGAGACAGAGAGTGACAGAGAGACAGAAAGTGAGAAAGCACCCCCACCCCCAGTAAGGATGGACCACTGCAATCCCTTCTCCATTCTCCTCTTGGGATTTTGGGCATGCACGCACACACACACACACGTGCGCCCGGTGAGTTTTAAGCCACCAGGTTCAGGACTTGAACTGCAGTCGACTATGTGAGAGTCCAGCAATGTAACCATTATGCCATCTGCTGGTCCCACTATAAGGGTATCAAGTTAAATTAAATGTGTATACAGTGCCTGTCATCCTGAAGGCACAAGAATGAAAGCACCTATTTTATCATAGTATCTTTACTACCATGCTGTTCAGATTTTGTCGTGTTTTTTATCCTCTCACATTTCCCACTTTCTGATTTACAACATTCCATCAAGGCGCTCCTGCTAGAAGCTGGCCTCTTGGCCTCACCTCCTGCCAGCCAGCTTTCCCAAAGCCTTCACAGGCCGCTAAGCTCCTGTCCACACGGCTGGCTGGTCTGTCAGTTCAAGCCACCCAATCCAACTGACATCACCATAGCTTGCAAATTCCCAAATCACTGTTGGTACTTTAGAGGTGGTGTTTACGCCCGGCCTTCAAATTGTACATCATGTCCTTATTCAGACACACCTTGCATCATCTGGTGTTTGAAGAAAGCTTCACAGTCCAGCACTTCAAAATATTTCTAAGGATAGGCTTTCCTAGTGATCAAAAATAAATCCCCAAACCAAGAAAGCTGTGTCCGTGTGCTGTTTACTTCAAATGGTAACTAAGAATGAAGGTAGCACAGATGGCGAGGTGAGTTTTTCTACTCAACGATATTAGTTTAGACACATTGATGTCCCTCGCTGATGCTGATTGATCAGCCACAGTTGCAACACTGTGCTTAGGCACTGCGTTTAACCCAGAGTGAAATGAATTCTTTCTCGTCTCATAAATTCTACATGAACGAGTACAAGTGTTTTCATAGCTTTTATCTTTCTATGTTCTATGGTCCACACTAAACTGTGGCAAAGAACACATTGGGTATACTGTACATCTATGTATGTATGCACATATATGTGTGTGATTTCCACACACATGTATACATACATACACTTAAAATAATTCTTTAGCTTTAGTGATTATTTTTAACATTTGCTATAGAGTACATGTATTCACCAGAGAATGACAGACAGTGAGAGAGAGAGAGAAAGAGAGAGAGGAAAAGTACGAAAGCAAGCCGTCAGGTCCAGGACTTGAACCTCAGTCAACCAAGTGGGAATCCAGTGCCTTAGCCACCATGCCACCTGCTGGCCCCCATACATACACTTTTATATAGTTCATATATATTCCATGTGGACATATCAGCTATGGCAGGAGAATAGCCTAGTACACCCTGAGAGTACAGAGTGGGGAGAGGTTAGGAAGAAGGGTTATCTCTGGACGATGAGGAGGGCTAGAGCCCATCCTGGATAAAGCCACCAGGTCCTGAGGAATGTGGTGTGGGCACAGAGAGGGCACACAGCCACACCGCACCAGTGCCTTGTCCTCATTTTCCACAGTGAGTCAGTCAGCATGCGTCCCCTGACAGCGCTACCACATTGCCCTGGGATCAGCATTTCCAGTAGGAGTAAGGCCAGCTCTTTCTTCCCTCCATAGGGAGATTGCATTTCTCACTCTAAAGGATCCAGGCAAACTCACAATGGTGACATTTGCTGAGTAGTGGCTTGAATAAAGGGCTCTCAGAAAGCAAGACGGGAAGGTGGAGCCCAGGCTAGTCTGCCAGGGTCTGGGGCCCCAGGAGTGCTCTTTGGGAATAGCCTGCAGCCTCCCAGTGCAGGGGAGAATAAAAGCAAGCCACAGGGAGAGCTGGGCAGCCCAGGGTCCTGCAGCTCCATTCTGGCAGCACCAACTGCCAGAACTGAGATACAGTGACAAAAAGAGTCTGGAGGAGAAGCTAGAACAGACCCTTCATTTGACTCTCAATTATTTTTGTAAATGCCAGGTAACCTCCAGGATCCTCTGTACTCCCCTAAAAAAGTGGTAGGAAAGACCTTCCCCCATCTATCCAGTGTACAGTGGTTCTGCAGCTACTCCTTTTAGCACTCTATAAATCTACACACACACACACACACACACACACACAAACCCTGTAACCCTGTGACTTTTCAATTACTACTTAAGCACAAGAAATTTTTCTCTTCCTCCCTGGATCGTCCCGGAGGTAGGCTATTTTGTATGTTAATATTGAAATAGTAGCTCCTGAGCGTGGATTTCCCTAGAAAGGGTAAAGTGGCTGAATCTGAACACATTTTTTTTCATGTCCTAGACCCGAAGTTTTATGCTGTATGGATAGTTTTGTCTCCTTCCCTCCAAGACCATTTAATTGCATGAATTCTGGAAAAAAGACCTGGGACATTTTCCAGACAAATCACTAGAATTCTACACTGTACACGCCTGTCGTAAAACTAACGCATTCATCTCTCTCCTCTAAACATTCCGTCATTTGGATTATATAATTGCCTTTCATTTGAACTCATTAATCATCCTGGAGTTTTTAAGCAACACCTAATTAATTCTTTAATTGGATCCGATGATATCTTTAATGATTTCCACTAGCAGGAAAAAAAAAGTGATCACTAAATTTGATTTTGAAACTGTGGACGCTGAGTTGACCCGAAGTTTTATGCTGTATGGATAGTTTTGTCTCCTTCCCTCCAAGACCATTTAATTGCATGAATTCTGGAAAAAAGACCTGGGACATTTTCCAGACAAATCACTAGAATTCTACACTGTACACGCCTGTCGTAAAACTAACGCATTCATCTCTCTCCTCTAAACATTCCGTCATTTGGATTATATAATTGCCTTTCATTTGAACTCATTAATCATCCTGGAGTTTTTAAGCAACACCTAATTAATTCTTTAATTGGATCCGATGATATCTTTAATGATTTCCACTAGCAGGAAAAAAAAGTGATCACTAAATTTGATTTTGAAACTGTGGACGCTGAGTTTCCTCTTTCACCCAGAACTTACAGATCACGTTAAAAGTAGGGTGTGGTTTGGTGGGGAGGAGAGAGCGAGAGGAGACTGGAGAGAAGGGGAAGGGAACTCTGGGAGAAAAGCCTTTCCCGAGCGCGTTCGTGATCCCAGAGACCCAGGTTTGGCGGTGTTCCAGGTCTGCAGAAGTTTCTTGCAAACAGAGATCAGCACAATGGAGCAAAGTCAGGCTTGGACTCGTTCTTCAAAACTTAGGGGCGCTCTTGTCTCCCCAACCAAACGCACACATTAAAGCGGCCGCCCAGTTCAAAGTTGGAAAAACTTAGAACAGCGCGCTGGGCCGCGGAGACTTCAGTCAATCTCGTCTAACGGTTTCCCCAGAACCGCTAGGAGCCCTCAACTTCCGCGGAGAAGCAGGAGCAGTGAGTCACCGCCGTGACTCAGAGACCCCACCCCTCTCCCGCCAGGCTTCCCTCTGACACCACTCCCCAGCTCCGAACCCGACCTGAGCCCGTTAGGTCCCTAAACTGGACCCCCCCGCTCCAACATAAATCGTTGAAAACAGCCATGGGCTTTAGCAGCTCTCTCCAAGGAGAGCGTGCACAAAGCTGCGCGCAGCCCGAGTCCTGCCTCCTGGGCTGTGCGTGCCCCCAACCTGCGCTCCAATCTCAGGCGCTCTTTGTCTCTTTCTCCGTGCCTTCGGACCTTCTGGGTCCCTTACTCCCTTTCTTCCTGCTCCTTGCGGGCGGGTCTCCCCACCCACCCGCCAGCAGCCGACCGCAGCCGCGCGCCCCTCCCACCCGCGCGCCTCCTCCCACCCGCTTCGGCGCGGTTCCCTGGACCCCTCTGTCCGGTTACTGGCAGATACCCCTACCACCGCGTACCCCGCCTTTTTCAGCACCCAAGGGTGAACAGAGTTTGGCCCATCCTCAGGAAAGCCCCCGAAAGTCCCAGCCCAACGCATAAAGTAACGGGACCTTGCCCATTATCTGGCTGCAGAGGAGGAAGGCTCTGGGCGCCCCCGCCCACTCGCCCCGCTACTCACCGGGTCCCCATTGGCTGGTGAGCTCCACTGCTGGGATGGCAGGGGGAGGAGACCCTCTTTCCCAACAGGGATATAAAAACAGCGCCCTTGGCGGGGCCCCGTTCTCTATCACTCTCGCTCCGGGATCCCTTCGCCAAAGACTCAGCAGCGCTCTCACTGCTCACGCCCACTGCGTTCTCACCGCTCACACCCACTGCGCCCTCGCTAGCTTCTCCTCCTCCAGCCAGTTTGTGCAGCGGCCCCAGCCCACCACCACCCTCTACAACCATGTCTTCCAGGTCCGTGTCCTCGTCCTCCTACCACAGGATGTTCGGTGGTCAGGGCATCGCCAGCCGGCCGAGCTCCAGTCGGAGCTACGTGTCCACGTCCACCCGCACCTACAGCCTGGGCAGCGCTCTGCGCCCCAACACCAGCCGCAGCCTCTACACCTCGTCCCCGGGCGGCGTGTACGCCACGCGCTCCTCCGCGGTGCGCCTGCGGAGCAGCGGGCCCAGCGTGCGGCTGCTGCAGGACTCGGTGGATTTCTCGCTGGCCGACGCCATCAACACCGAGTTCAAGAACACTCGCACCAACGAGAAAGTGGAGCTGCAGGAACTGAATGACCGATTCGCCAACTACATCGACAAGGTGCGCTTCTTGGAGCAGCAGAACAAGATCCTGCTGGCCGAGCTCGAGCAGCTCAAGGGCCAGGGCAAGTCGCGCCTGGGGGACCTCTACGAGGAGGAGATGCGGGAGCTGCGCAGGCAGGTGGATCAGCTCACCAACGACAAGGCCCGCGTGGAGGTGGAGCGCTATAACCTGGCCGAGGACATCATGAGGCTTCGGGAGAAGTAAGGCGGCAGGGAGGCGGGAGGGAGAGGGGAACAGAGCCCCTGCGAGGGGCTGCCACGCCCTTGGGGATGTGGCCTGGGCGGTGGCTGCTTGGGGGTGGGGGGGACGGTGGTGAAGCTGAGCTGCAGCTGCGACGCACAGCCCCGCCCAAAACCCAGACCTTGCAGTTAGCGTTTCCCTTCTACCCCCACGCATTGCCCAAGAACTCTCCTTTTCAAGTTACAGATTTCTTAAAACTGTACTTCGTCTGTAATCGAAGGCCCTTGGACGCGATGAGAACGATTACCCCAAACTTTTAGAAAGTTTCCTGGCCCTTCTGGCAAGCTGCCAGTCACCGGGCAAGAAGGGGGAGGAAGGGGATGGCGGGGAGGAAGCGAGACAAAGGGATGGTAGAGGCTCCTCCGGGGCGCAGGGGGCGGGGCTCACCTGGCAGGTTTGTGATGGCCTTTTTATGCGCTGGGTCCCACTAGAACCTGCCAAGGGCAGCATTTCTAAACGCTGCAGTCGCTGGCTGCCCGCGGAGGTGGCGCAGAGGCGCAAGCCTCGCGGCGCGACGACTTGGTGTTTGGGTGTGGCCGCCCCGCCCCTGGCGGTTTCCTGGTTCCCTTTTGGTTAATGTGCAACTGTTTCAGATTGCAGGAGGAGATGCTTCAGAGAGAGGAAGCCGAAAGCACTCTGCAATCTTTCAGACAGGTTTGTAGCCTCTCTTCCCACTCGTAGCCACCGGACCCCACCCTCCCAACCCACGGGCAACCGTAAAAGTTACTTAACCCAAGTTTAAAAAGTGTCCAACTTCACTTTATGAAGAAAGCCCCCTACTGGCTGAAAGACCACAGGTTGGAACGTCTGGGGATAAAATCCATAGGAAAGATTTAAACCCTTTCTTAGGACAGAAAGTCTGTTAGCTTTTTACTTTGTTTCGAGAGTTTTTCCAAAGAAATTTTGTTTCTGTTTTATTTTTGCAACATATTAACATTTTGATTTCAGACAGAATTTGATGTAGATTGTGATTTGCTAAAGCCAATTGCCTTTTACAAGGCCACAAAAAAGCACAGTTACATCCTGAAGTTTAAAATATCAAACGTGTTGAAGGATAAGAAACTTAGTTTAATTGGAATTAAGCCCCACAGTTTTTTTCTCCTTTGCAGATTCTTTTGTGGCATGAAAGTTAGATAGAAGTATCACTAGGCACAACTATTTTGTGATCTAATAAGGGTGAAAAGGAGCCATCTGTCCCCCTGGCTGAAAGGTATTAATGGTTTCTATGGGCTTCACTATGGAATGTAGATACAGACATTCTGGCAAGTGCAATGGCTGTGGACAGAAATAATAGGAGTCTTTGTGTTCCCAGAGAAGCTTTGCAACAGGCTACATTCTTATTGAATATGTAATGATGTAAGCACGGTTCTAATTGGACACAAGTATTTGCTAACATCCGTTATCTAATATCTGGCCCAGACTTGTGAAGTATGTGATGCGAAAAGTTCCTAAAGCTACAGTCTCACCTCACATTTTGCAAGGCCTGTCTTTATTGGGTTCTTGTATTCTTCAGCTTCCTCTTGATAAACAAAAAATGCAAGTCTAAGACTGAATAATGGAATGTTACGTGAAAGGTTTTATATTCTTTTGCTCCAAAGTTCAATGGACTTCAAGAATTTTTAACCTAAAATTGGAATCCAAAAGCAGACAGATTCTGAGCCTAGTTTTTTTTTTTTTTTTTTTTTCTGTAGAACGCTTACTGGGATATTCCACAAGAGTCTTGGATAACATTTTGAAACCAAAACATATTTATAAATTAATTTAAACATGGCGATGTGTGTTTCATTTTAGTTATTGAACACTTACAATTATTACACCAGTAATGGTATTCATAGAGTAGTCATTTAATTTAAAACAAAATTAATATAAAAGATCTCCTATTGAAGGGATTAAGTATAATTCCCCATTCTCTTCAATAAAATAGAATGTCACATTGCAACTTCTAAAAGATATTAGTAAAATATCTTTTTAATCCTTTTTAGGGCTTAACAGCAAAAATGAAATTTTTCCCAACTCTGATCTTTTGTTATCACCTACTCTTCCCTCACTTTTCCATGAAGGTTGTAGGAGTGTCTCAACATTAAGACTGCAAGGCTTAATGTACTGCAGATGTAACTGCCTACAAAAATAAGTGGTATACAATCCTCGTAACATTTCCTTGATGGGAAATAAAATTATGATTGCAAGATTACAGATTTCTGACTTGGAATGTAGCAGTTCAGATGGTGAAAACATTGTTCAGTGAGATCAGCAAGAATTCTACTGATAGTTTCATTATATGCAAGCCTTTTGACCAGTCATTCTGAAACAAGCCAGCTAACTGAATCGATACAGTGCCCAGTAAACAGATTAGACACTCCCTGGTAGAATGAGTCAGGGGAGTTTCAGGAGAAAAACTCTACCAGAGAAAGCAAAGCAAATACAATTCAGAGTCATGATTCTTTTCCTTCTTTGCCTGGACCATAGCATGTCCAGTATTCTGAATTGCTCCTTATAGCCCAGATGCCAGATAACTACATACTTGCCTCAGGGTAAGTATCAGAATTTGAGAGATTAAAAAAAAAAAAAGAAGAAGAAGAAGAAAGAGCTCAGATATACACTGAAACTTTTAAAGCACTTTTTTTTTTTTAAGAGAGGCACACGTGCTCACCAGAGACACAGAGAGTGAGAAAGTGAGAAACCACCCTGTAGGGGGGATGGCCACACCACATGCCCTTCTCCTCCATTCTCTCAGGATTTTGGGTGTGTGCTCTCACATACACGTGCCCAGCATGAATTTCAAGCTGCCAGGTCCAGGATTCAAACCATTGTCAATTGTGTGGGAGTCCAGCACCTTAACCATTGTGCCACCTACTGGCCTCTTAAAGCACTTTTTAAAGTTTCTGTTATACATGTACTCATGTATATAAGAAGATATGAAATCTGGGCAGCTGTGTTATCACAGTCCATGAAATGACGCAAAAAGTAAAGGAACAGACAACTCCAAACTTAATGCTATGGCATTGAGTTTCTAGATAATTAATAATAATTACTATTAAATGATTAAATCCACTACTAAAATGTGGATTTAGAAGTTAGTTTAATGTAGGACTGGCAGATGGCATAATGGCTACATTGCTGGCCTCCCACGTAGTCAACCACGGTTCAAGTCCTGGACCCAGCGGCTTGAACCTCATGCTGGGTACCTTTTGCATGTGTACACAAAAAATCCCAAGAGGAGAATGGAGGAGAAGGGATTGTGGTGTGGCCATCCCCAGTGGGGTGATTTCTCACTTTCTGTCTCTCTGTCTCTCGAATAAGCACATACACCCTATAGTAAAAAATCTCTCTTAAAAAAAAATTGGTTTAGTGCAGCCTCCTGTGTTGGTGCACATTTATTTATTTCTGCATTGTGTATTTGCCACTTTGAGTACAACACGGTGGGTCATGATTCAATTTTGTTAATAAAGAAAACAAAGCAGAGTGTACTGGAGCACCGAGTGACCTGTAAACTTGGCAAGGTCTTGTCTGTAGTAAGGGTACTCAATGCGCATGGCTAATGTAAGAAGAATAAACGAGATGAACCACAGACTTTCACATTCCACGCCTTGTTGTTTGTCTTTTGAAAATAGGATGTTGACAATGCTTCTTTGGCACGTCTTGACCTGGAGCGCAAAGTGGAGTCCTTGCAAGAAGAGATTGCCTTTTTGAAGAAACTACACGAAGAGGTAAGTGGAAGACGTGTTAGGGAATGGACGCAGGTAAAGCTCCTGCACTGGGCCCGGCCAACCTCTGTCTCCTTTTCCTTCAGGAAATTCAGGAGCTGCAGGCCCAGATTCAGAATGACCAAATCGATATGGATGTTTCCAATCCTGCACTCACGGCTGCCCTGCGGGATGTCCGTCAGCAGTATGAAAGTGTGGCTGCCAAGAACCTTCAGGAGGCAGAAGAATGGTACAAGTCCAAGGTAGGGAACAAGTCTGTCTAGAGCAAAAGAACAGCACTTTGCTCTGAAAACGCTGCCCTTGTCTGTGATTTCTAAATACCTTTTAGCACCAAACACTTGCTACTAGTTCTTCTTCAAAAAACTTTTGAGAGATTTATTTTTTTACTGTAGGTTGCGTGTACTCACTGAAAACACAGAGAGAGAGAGACAGAAAGCAAGAAATCACCTCCCGGGGAGATGGCCACCTGTAATCCTTTTTCCTCCACTCTCCTCCTGGGATCTTGGCCATGCCTACATTCCCAGTGTGAGTTTTAAGCCACTGGACCAGGACTCCAACCACGGCTGCTATGCCATCTGCAGGCCCCTCTAATTTTGCTTTTTGCCACAGCCTCCCCACCATATCACCTCCTTTACAATAGCACACTCCCTTTCCACAAACCATCTCCCACCTTGCTTCCAAGTAAACTGTACCACCAGGCCTTTGAGCCCAGTAGAGTGAATGCTGTCTGAAAATGTCAGCGTCAGCATTCCACTGCTCATTCTCTGGCTTTCAGAACAGAAATTCCTAACACATTCCAGAGGACCTTGAGTCAGAATTCTGACTTCTTTTCCTGAGAGAGTCGAAATACTTGGAATGTGAACAGTCTACATTTCTGATTCCTTCCATATAGTTTGCTGACCTCTCAGAAGCTGCTAACCGCAACAACGATGCCCTGCGCCAGGCGAAGCAGGAGTCCAATGAGTACCGGCGGCAGGTGCAGTCCCTCACCTGTGAAGTGGACGCGCTTAAAGGAACTGTGAGTACCACACTGCAGTGAAAGAGGGAAGGCAGACCCAGCTGCAATGGTGCAAGCAGGAGGGTGCTGCTGCACAGTGGCTGAGGCCACATGGGAGGCCCAGGTTCTTTTCCCAGCCCAGCCCAAACAGCCCAGACACAGGGGCATGTGCCTGTGACCCTATGTCAGGAATTTTGCTCCATGGTGAGACCATGTCAAAAATAGCCCTTTATCTCTTTCCAATCTACTCTTTCTCTCTTGTTTGATTAAAAAGGGGGAGAAGAAGGAGAACCATCAGCCTAGAATCCATTCAATTGACCAAACTGATGTTGATGTCTGAGCAAAATTTCAAATGAAGGAAAACAGATTTCAATGCAAAAGGATGTGAGCTGTCAAGACAGATTCAAAAAGCCCTTACGGGAATTTTGAAGACTTTAGCTCACTTTTATCACTGTTTCTGATAAGAGGGATGTGATACTTGTATTCTCTACCTCAGATTTCCCACTAAGGGAAATGATTGCAAGTGGTCTGTAAATGGTTCTGGAAAGAACTGGGTCTTTCTGGGACATGACAGTGGAAACCTTTCTCCCCTTCTGTAGAATGAATCTCTGGAACGCCAGATGCGTGAAATGGAAGAGAACTTTGCTGTCGAAGCTGCTAACTACCAAGACACCACTGGCCACCTGCAGGATGAGATTCAGAACATGAAGGAAGAAATGGCTCGCCACCTTCGTGAATACCAAGACCTGCTCAATGTTAAGATGGCTCTTGACATTGAGATTGCCACCTACAGGAAGCTGCTGGAAGGCGAGGAGAGCAGGTATGGAACGCAGACTGGTATGTGTGAATAGCAGCATAGGCTAGGTACTGGGCCACTTGCTCAAATGCATTATCTCATTTATTCTTTCGAGCCCTTCCTCAAGGTAGCTACTTTCCCCTTTGTTCTTTTAGAGAAATTTTTGCTATAGGATGCCTGTGCTTGCTGGAGACAGAGACAGAAAGTGAAAAATCATTTCCCCCCCCACCCCCGCCCCACCATGAAAGGATTGCCATGCTGCAATCCTTTCTCCTCTCTTCTCCTCTCAGGATCTTGGGCATGCAGCCAGTGTGAGTTTTAAATTAACGAGTCTGGGACTTAAACCATGGTTGACTGCATGGAAGTCCAATGATGTAACCATTATGCCATCTGCTGGTTCCCTTTCCACTTTTTATACACAAGGAACTTTATAGGTTTAGAGAGAGTAAGTACCTTGCCCTAATCAGTGTTAATCAGTAAGAAACTGGGATTCGAACTCACAACTCTGGCAAAGCCCACACTCTTCCCACTCTGCAGTGCCTCCAGTGTATGCCCCTGCCAAGAAAATGCTTGGAGCTAAATATTTTAAATGTACTAATGAGACCAATTGTGGGGAAATGCTTCTGAAGCAAATTCCTCACTTAGAAAGTACAGGAGTAAATTTTGTCATTTGATGAACCAAGAAGGGTATAAATCTGTTCCTTGTGGGTGAAGTTCTTTTCCAACAGTTTTACTGTTTTTCTTCATCTTTTTACAGGATTTCTCTGCCTCTTCCAAACTTCTCCTCCCTGAATCTGAGGGGTAAGTATTTTATTTCCCTTCATGAAAAATTTTAGCAGCTTATAACCATTCCATGTGTAATAAAGCACTTATTTTTTAGTAATACTTGAAAAATGCCACACAAGACAAAATTCTATAAAATATCCATAGTTTTCAAAACCAAGTGCTCTGACATGTAAAATCTATTTACTTCCTCCTGATGGAGAGTACACTCTGAAATACGATCTCAGTCTGGTGCTAAAGTGGTGTCAGACTCTGGGTTTCCAAGCAGGTAACGCTTTGGAATTAATTTAGAAATAATGCTTTAAATAATTGTGAAAAAACATAAATTATACATGAAATGGTTAATATTTAAAACTTGTTCATGTTTGTTCATTGTTTGACTTTTTTTTTTTTTTAAATCAGAAACTAATCTGGATTCACTCCCTCTGGTTGACACCCACTCAAAAAGAACACTTCTGATTAAGACGGTTGAAACTAGAGATGGACAGGTTGGTATCTTTTAAATTAAAAAAATGGAGTAGTCTCACACAGGCATTGCTATTCTTTTAAATCAACAAATCTATATCTCAGAGGTAGCCTAACTAATTTGAGAGATCTCAGTTTCACTTACCCTACTAAAAAATGGATAGGCCACTTCTTCCAGAGCTACACAGCCACCTAATTATTTAGCTCCTAGATGTGAAAGTGAGACAGTAATCTTCTTCCTGTACTCCAAAATGAATGACTTGCTACAGTGAATAATTCGAAATGAGAGTTAAACTTGCTTAAGTTATTAGTTAGACCAGCTTTATTAGACTACTTCACTAGACTACCTCTCGAAGTGACTGTCACCTAAACACTCCTATGGCCATCTATATAGAGCAGAGGTGTGCCGTATGATCAATTAGTGTCTTATTCCCTCTCTACAGCAGGAAAGAAATGATTGTTATTTCCTGTAATCCTAATGAAAATCTTCCTTTGCACATACATTTTAAATGTAGTCCCTGTACATTTTTTCTTTTATTATGTTAGAGGGAGCATGTGTGTATGTGTGTGCAAGAGAGAGAGAGAGAAAGCACCTCACCAATAGGGCCAGATCACACCACAATCCTTTTTTCCTTCAGTTCTCCAGCCCTTCAGAATCCTGGGCCTGTGTTCTCGTGCACAGTGTGTAAGCCTCCAGGGCTTGGACCCGATCCCTGGTCAGCCATGTGGGATCTGGTTTCCTCTGCACAGCTCTTAACTGCTGCATATTATGAAAAAACTGTGCATAGATTTCAAATGTTTTGTGTACAAAGAAAAAAAGTAAGAAAGAAAAAAAATAATTAAAAAAATTTATTTATCTATTTGTTATGATTTCCAAGCCTCTGGGTTCAAGACTTGAGCCGCTGTCAACCATGTGGGAATCCTGAACCTTAACCACCCTGCCACCTGCTGGCCCAAAACCCTCGCTTTGTTCTTGTTTTTGTGTTTTTGTTTTTTTGTTTTGTTTTGTTTTGTTTTGTTTGAGAGGGTTTTGCTCTAGGGCACGTGTGTTCGCCAGAAAGACAGAGAGAGACAGAGAGACAGAAAGCAAGAAATCAACCCCCAGGGCGATGGCCACGCTGCAATCCTTTCTCCTCCATTCTCCTCTCAGGATCTTGGGCACACATGCACATGCACCCAGCATGAGTTTAAGCCACCGGGTCCGGGACTTAAACCGTGGTCAACTACATGGGAGTCCAGCAACATAGCCATTATGCTAACTGCTGGTCTCAAAACCCTTGTATTTTAATTCCATATTTTCACTAACTTTTTGAAGTCCTCTTATGCATATTTAGTAGAGTTTTTCTTTGCATGACTTATGGGATGATTTAATCATTACCACATAGTATTATATTTCATTTGAGTTTTATTTTTTTAACAGGTTATCAATGAAACTTCTCAGCACCACGACGATCTTGAATGAAAACTGCACACATGCGTGCAGCAATATATTACCAGCAAGAATAAAAACGAAATTCATATCTTAAGGAAACAGCTTTTAAGTGCCTTTCTGCAGTTTTTCAGGAGCGCAAGATAGATTTGAAATAGGAATAAGCTTAGTTCTTAACAACAGACACTCCTAAGAGATTTAGAAAAAAAAAAGTTTACATCATAATCTAGTTTACAAAGAAGTCTTGTGCTAGAATACTTTTTAAAAAGTATTTTTTGAATACCATTAAAACTGCTTTTTTCCAGCAAGTATCTGACCAACTTGTTTTTGCTTCAATAAATCTTTGGAAAAATTCTTTTGGTGTGTTCTTTATCTGATAACATCGGAATAATTCTGTGCTTGGTACTTTTAACTTTGCCCCTAAAATCCTATTTATGTAGAGTAACCTGGCAAATGTAACTTGTTTATGCTTCAGGTATAGTTTTTAATATTTGTCACTTTGACCTCCTTTTCTATTCTTAATGTCAAAAAAATTATAAATAGAGGGTTAGTAATAAAATAACGTATAAAAGTGATGATCACTCTTATCATAAAATGAATTTAGCAGTTTCAATGCTCATGTGTGAGTTCAATCAGAAAAAAATGAATTTTTTTTTTTAGTATATCTAGCATTGAAATTCTACCATGAAAGTTAAAGCATACAGAAGTAGGGCCAGGTGGTGGTACAGATGTAACACAACCAGACTCACATAGGAAAGGTCCTGGGTTTTTGTCACAGGACCTCCCTGAGCATGCTGGTACCCACGTGTGTCCATGATTCAGGCTGGCTGAGATGGGTTGTGGTGTAGGGACACTCTTGGGGGTGCCTGTCTCTCTGTCTCTGTCTCTCTCTCATGTAAGAAATAAATTGAAAAAAGAGCCATGGCCAAGATGTCAGGACTATCATCCACTGGCAAGATTACAGAGAAATGGAACAAGTTTGCCAAATTTTAACATATGAAACTGCTCTGCCTTTTTATGTATAGTGACATCTACTGGTGGTAGCTATACCTATATCTATCCATAGAATAAGTATTTTTAAAGACCTTTCTATTTGGAGAACAGTACTAGAAAATAAAGAAAAATCCCTACCTTTTCTTCAGGGAAGAGGAGATTATTGCATGTGGGTCATGTGGTGAAACTGCTGTGAGGTTTCAAAACCTGGTAGTCACGAAGTCTTCCTTTAGTCCATGCAGTATGACCAGGCCTTAGGAGGATGGATAGAAGGGAGATAGATCAACAAGATAGGGCATTGTCTGAAGACAACAGAGGTATAATGAATGGTTGACAGTGCTCTGGAGTGAAACTCCTGATAGTCACATTCCTTGACTTCAGTATATCACAAATTTTTATATTATTGTTGCCGTACTTTTCTAGGAATAATATATTGGGCATTTGTAATGTTTCTGTTTATATCTGCCTCTAAGGTTGCTGAGGGGAACAGTAAGATAGCTCATGAAAAGCCCTACCTATATACAATAACGTTGGCTAAGATTGTCATCATTCCTGTTGCTATGGACACTGCATGAGTAAAGAAAGGATGGGGCTGCTGAAGTGACCCTGAGCTACAAGTATTTCTTGTGCTCCTTTTCAGCCTACCAATGTACTGGTTTGGACAATAGATTATATCTGGTCATGCTACTCTTAAGCATACTTGCATAGGCAAGGAAATTTACCCTGAGATTCTTTGAATGTGCCTGTACCATCATCCTCCTGCTTGAATACATGTTAAATGTCTAGTCAATATTATCAGGGTAAACACCAACTCTTTGGACCTTAAGAACTTTCTTCTATTTGACTTTTTTTTTCTTTTTCCATTAGCCATTCTCACCACCGTCCCCCCCAGTCTCCTAGCCTCTCAGCCCAATTTCCCTGGCTCTTCCATTTCTACCCACCTTTGGCATGTGAGTGTTGTCCAGCGAAAATCCCAGTCTCAGGCTGGTTTTCCTGGCATGCATATCATGCTTTATTATTATTTTTTAATTAAAAGACACAATTTTGTTTATTTTCCTAGGTGGAAAGGAAACAGAACAACAACGGGGAGTTTTATTCATACAGACTGGGAGGCTCCCCATCCTTAAAAGTCCCTTATAGTACTTTGTAAAAATCACATCCCAGAAACAGAAAAGATGAGCTGGCCTCCCTTATCTGTGACTGTCAGAAATTAGAACTTAATGAAAAGCCTTGCAAGGGCCCATCTCATAGGAATTCAAATCTATTTAAGTCTTCTTTTATTTTTATCTTTAATTATACTGTTAGCGTTTTTTCCCTTATCTTTTACTTTGAAAACCTCATACAAAGAAACTAGGTTTTCACCACCTAGGGTGAAGCAGAGATTAATGTTTGGTTCTTTTATGTATAACATTAATCCAAGATTAAAGGAGATAAAAAAAATTGTCAGGATGGGGAGGAGGAAATGATGACAAAGTACAAGACTAAAAAAAATTACCAAGGGGACTATGCAATCTATGGAAATAATGTGACTATTAAGTCCTGCTAAGTTTTCTCACAGTAGGAACAGATGGAAGAGGCTGCTAGTGAAGAAAATTAGTGTCTGATTTTGGCTTAAAGTGTAGTGATCTACCTGCCCATGACAAGCCTCTAAAGAAGGCACTAGTCATGTGAAATCTTTTCTAAGGCTCTGAAACTAAGGCAATGAATGTATGTAGTGATGGGGAAGAGAGAACACCAGCTTTCACTTTAAGTATGGTCTGCATGTCTGTGCCCACTCTCTAAACTTCTGTATCAAAACCTAATTCCCAATGTGATGGTATTCAAAGGTGGGGCCTTTGGAAGGTGATTAGGTCAGGAAGGCAAAGCACTCATGAATGGGATTGGTGATTTTTTTAAAAGGCCAAAGGGAGCATATTTGCCCCATTCTCCACAGCAAGAAGGCATTATCTATGAATTAGGAAATAGGCTCTCACCAGACAGCTAATCTACTGGCACCCTGACATGGACTTTCCAGCCTCCAGAACTGTGAAAAACAAATTTGTGTTGTTTATACACAAATGTGTTGTTTATAAAAGATTTTGGTTTAGCATCCCAAAGACACAATGATAGCCCTGTTCTAAGGAGTCCTAGTGTCTTCCAGAAGAAAGAAAAGAGAAAAAACACAAAATGGGTGTCTCTCCAATCTAAATAGAGTCTGTATTAGTCTGCTCATGTTACCATAACCACAAATTAGGTAGTTTAAACAACGGATGTTTATTGTGTCATAGTTCTGGCAGATGGAAGTCCAAGATCAGGGTGCTGGCAGGATCAGTTTCTTCTGATGCCTTTTCCTTTGGTTTGTCAATGGCCTCCTTCTAGCTGAGTCTAATATGATCGCCCCTCAGTTGGTGTGTCTGTGTCCTAATCTCTTCCTATAAGGACACTAGTCATATTGGACTAGGATCCACCCACATGGCCTCAAGGCCCTCCATTGAAATACAGTCATGTTCTGAGGTATTGGGGGTTAAGACTTTAACAAATGAATTTGGTGAAGGAACAATTTAGCCCATAACAAGGTCATAGTTAAACATTTAGAGAACACTCTCCTTGTTTGTACTTAGAACAGATCTATGATAGAGATTTTTTAAAACCATAAAATAGCAAATCCACTGAAAGACTTGTGGCCATTGGTGACTGCTTAACTTCCCCATTTTTGTATCCCCTCTCTAGTTAGACATAATCCTATGGAGACTTTCTACAACTAACTTTTGTGTAAGGCAAATACTTCTTCTAGGGTGTTGTAGGGCATAATTGAACAGTTGTAGAAAGCCCAGGAAGAGTCAAAAGAACCCAACAGGCTGCCCAGACAGACTGTCTTCACTCCCAAAAGACCAGTATCTTAGTGCATCTTTTTAAAATCCATAACTAGATATTTAAAAAGAAAATAAATTTATTTTTCACAGTTCTGGAGACTAGGAAGTTCAAAACATGGTGCCAGCATCAGGTGATGCTCAGATAATCCCATAGCACAGAGCAGAAGGCAGAAGCAACTTCATGGAAAAAAGGAAGTTCAGGATTCACTTTATAACAACCTACTCTTACAATAACTAACTCATTCTTTTTTTTTTTTTTTTTTTTGAGAGGTTTTTGCTATAGCAAAAAGAGAGACAGAGAGAGAGAAAATGAGAAATCACCCCCTGGGGGGATGACCACGCCTCAGTCCCTTCTCCTCCATTCTCCTCTCGGGATCTTGGGCATGCATGCATACGTGCCCGGAGTGAGTTTAAGCCACCAGGTCCAGGACTCGAACTGCGGTCAACTACATGGGAGTCCAGCGACATAGCCATTACGCCAACTACTGGTCTCCCAACCCATTCTTGAGATAATTACATTAATCCATTCATGAGAGCCCCTGTGACCAAATCACCTCCTATTAGGCCCCACCTCCCAACACTGTTATATTTGGAATTAAGTTTCCAACACATTAACTTTTGGGGAGACACATTCGGATGACAGCAACCAGGATAGAGTTACACCACTTTCTTAGGAAATTTGAGTCTCCTGTATTTATCAGATACTGTGCTAGCTGACTGTATAATGACACTGCTTCCTCTCTTTCTGAGTTCACAATCTACCAAACTAGTGGGAAAGAGCAAGGAATACAATGAAATGCATAGATTACATTGCATGCATTTTATGTTGCTAATATTGCAAAGCAGCTGTATATCTCAATTCAGTTCATTTCAATTCTCAGCCCAAGGTAACATGGAGGTGGGTCAAGTTCTCTCTTTGGAATTTGGACTATGCTTGCAAGCCTGATGCTGTTTATTCTTGTCTACTCTGTTGCTAATAACAGAAAATACCTGACACTGGGTGATTTTTAAAATCTTTTAATATTGTACCAATACAACTAAATTCTAACACATGAACTTTTGGGAGGTTGCATTCAAACCATAACATTTCCTAACTCAATATGGGCCCCTCACTCTCCAGAATATGAAAAACTTTTCCTATCTTCTCCTTTATTTTCTTGAGCATGCTAATTGTGGTTATATTTTTTTTCGCATTTATTTAAAGGTGCTTGTCTACGAACTCTAGTACGTGAACAACATGTGAATTTGTTTATATTTATCTGGTTTTTTTTCTTTTGTGTTCTCGATTATTTGATTTTTTTTTAGTATGCCTCATAATTTTTCCTGAACAAAACACATTTTAAACTTACTTTGTACTTATTTAGGATCTAGACGATGTTTTCTTCTTCTAAAGAGCAACAAAATGGGGCCAGACGGTGGCACAACAGTAAAAATGCGATGCTCTGCAAGACAATCCCACATGGGAAAG